AAAAAAAAAAAAACTCAAACAAAGAGCTTGGTTCCACTGTTTTACAATCTCAATTATATGCCTAAATTGCTGCAGGTAGCTGCTAACCCATTAATAAGCACTGGAGTAACATGTTTTCTCCACAATACAGCCTCTGAATAAATATTAACAATAGGCCATAAAAAGAAACAGAGCAGTTTAGTTTGAAAATTAAGTTCTTTGATACTGAAAACTTACTTTAAGTAATATACTTTAAGTATATTACTTAAGAACTCCAAATTTAATTTCATCCTTTTGTTATGAAATGTCTTTTCATGTAGTACCCTAAATTTTACATTTTATCCTAGAGCAGGGTTTCTCAACCTCTGCACTGCTGCTATTTTGGGTTGGATAATGTAGTGGAGAATTGTGCATTATAGGGTTGTTTAGCAGCATTCCTGGCCTCTACTCACTAGATAATGGCATTACCTCACCAATCAAGACTATCAAAAATGTCTCCAGACACTGCCAATAAGCCCTGGGGGACTAAACCACCCCCAGTTGAAAACCACTGTCCTAGAAAAGGGTCAACCAATAAACAATCACATGTGGCCTGTGCTATGGATGCACATGCAGAAGTAAAAGGGACACACACAGTATTTTATGGGGATGGGGAGATCAGAACAAAAAAGTTATAAAACATAGTAGAAATACTGTAATCGAAGGACTGCTCAGGCTCCACAAGGAAGACATAAGAGGAACAACAAAGCCAGGTGGGGCACAGGAAAAGTTAAGAAAAAAAATGCTGCTACTTGAGTCAGGATCTGCCATCTAAAGTTAATTAGGCAGAGAGGAGAAAATAACATTCCAGGGAAAGGAAGAGGAAGACCACGAATTTAAGGCCAGAGAGAAAAACAGCATGTGCAGGAAAATAAACAAGAAACAGCAAAAGAGAAGTCTGGAGACAGGCCTTGCAGAACACAGCAGGGCATCTGGCTTTTTTCAGAGGCAATGGGGGAGCCAACAACATTTTTAACAGGAGCTGACAAAATCAGATGTTAATATGGAATGATCAAACAACATTTTGAAAAGTAGACTAATATGGAAGAGAGAAGGT